TTGCCTCCCGCCTGCAGCCATGGGCTTAGAGGCGTTTCCGCGGCCCCAGCGCGCCCGCACCCAGCCCAGAAAGATGGTCGAGGCAGCGGACGACTCGGAGATCGATGCCGCAACACACTGGATCCACCAGTCCACTAGCCTGCAGCAGTCGGCGCTGCCGCCCGGTGCCCGCCCGCCGCTCGGCAGCCGCCCTCCGCCCCTCCCCCGCCCCAAGGCGCGGCGCAGCAAGGCCACCCGCGGGCCCAGCAGCTGCAGAAGCAGCCCCTGCAGCAGCCCCAGCCAGCAGCAGGACGACAGCGACTATGAGGACGCCGTCAGCGATGCAGACGCGGAATGGGCAGCGGCTGCGGCAGCGCTGGGCAGGGCACCGCCAGAGGCAGGCGCCGACAGCGGCAGCCACCAGGCTGATTCGCCCGATGCCCCAGCGTACAAGCGCCGGCGGGGCAGCAGCGGCAAGGCCGTCAAGCTGCGCAACCCCGAGTGCGTGCTTGCTTGCCTCCCTGCCGGCCGGACCTGCCGGATCTGCCTGCAGGCATTCACTTCCTCGCCTGCTGGCTGCCCCCGTTGCTGCAGGTACACCGAGGAGGAGCGCGCAGAGCTGGCCCGCAAGTCCCGCAAGCGCCTGCAGGACAAAACGCTGAAGTCGTATGACAGCCACCTGCGCAAGCTGGAGGTGACCTTGCTTGCCACAGGCAGCTCGGCGCCGCCAGCGCACCAGCCAACCAACCCAGCTATGCCCCGCCCCGCCAGGTAGCACCAGCCTGCTGGCCTGCCTGGGCCCGCCCCCCGACCCCCCTTCCCCCTGTGCACATGTAGGCCTTCTGCAACATTCAAGGCTTCACCCTGGCAGCAGCGCAGGACGCGATGCAGGTGGTCACGATCATGGCAAAGTTCATTGCCTGGGTGGCGAACAACATGCCTTGCTTCAACTACAGGGGGAAGAAGGAGTCCATGGTAAATGCCCCCGACGTGCTGCCCCCTGGCGTGCTGCTCTGCATCGGTGGCTGGATCCAGCACAAGAGCCAGGACGTCACCCGCGCCTACTTTGCCGACCGCCTGTGCGTCGTGCCCCCAGACGACCTGTTGCAGGAGGTGTTCCCCAACATGCTGGGCGCGCTCGTCGGTGGCATCAAGAAGGTGTGCCAAGCTGCTTGTGTGTGGGTGGGGGTGAAGGGGG